TTCTCAGTCCCATAGAATTTGTTTTGATAACTTTTGATTTTGAAATTTTAGCAAAAGTCGTTATAACCAATTTATGAGATTGAAAATGAAAAGCGTGGGGCGCATACAATAGCCACCTGAATTGATATGAAGGGTAATATATGTTCATATGTATGTGGATATATGAATAACGACCGCTTAAAATCGATCTCAAATTTGTACTTTCGCTGAAGAAATTTTAGGTCTATGTTATGTAGTTTGCCTATTGTCAATTAAATATAATGCTTTGGATTGCATTGTTTTGAGTAAATTAGCGTCTTTAAATTTCAAAATATTGAAGTTTCAAGCATTTCTGAAATTTACCGTTATATGAAAAGCGGCCGTAATTTTAGTCACATTTCAATAATTTTCAACGTTTTGCTTTTATATGGCAAGCACAATAACCATACCGAGTTTGGTACAAATTGGTATAACGGTTACCGAGATGCATATATGTGGTCATATGTGGGCGGTGCCACGCCCACTTTCCAAAATTTTATTATCAACGTATTTATTTGTAAATAATGGTTGCAAGCATAAATTTTGAATAAATTAGCTTTAACATTTAGTGATATATCGAAGATTTTGTATGTGGGATGTGGGCGTAGTTATTGTCCGCTTTTAAAAATTTTCGGCCATTGGCTATGCTGTACCAAGGCTAACAACTGTGCCAAGTTTGGAAGAAATTGGTGTAGCGGTTAACAAAATTTATAATAATCTTATTTTTCGTCTGAAAATTATTGTAAATATCAAGTTTAAGTGAACAATCGTCGGTAGTTACTAAAATATCGCAGTTTTCGTATTTTTGGAAATTACCGTTATATGGGAAGTAGGCGTCCGATTTCGCCCATTTTCAATACCAACCTACCTTGGATGAATGGAAACCTACATACCAAATTCGTTGAGATATTTAAAATTTTGCTCGAGTTATCGTGTACACGGATGGACGGACAGACAGACGGACTGACAGACATGGCTTAATCGACTTCTCTATTCATTCTGAGCATTTATGTATACATTTGTCTATATCTATCTCGATTCGTTTTGGCTGTTACAAACAACCGTTATGTGAAGAAAATTAATATACCCTTGTGCACAAGTGCGCTCGGGTATAAAAAGAATGTGTTGGATATTTCCGAATTATTGTACAGTATTGCCAGGCACAAGTTTCTGTGAATGAATCGTCGAATTCCTTTTAGGAATGTCAAAGAATAGCCGATATGGACTAGTTGGGGTTGCCACATCACTCCCCTCGGTACTTAATAGGGAGCTTAGCCCTAGCCCAGATCATGTCACACATGTCGAGTGCGAAGTTGATACAGTCGGTGTAGAGCTCGTGGGTGTTGTTGTTCGTTGGTTTGCTTCCCTGTCGTCGTTGACTATGTAAGCAGCTTTCAACCTGTCGATGCTGACGTTGGTCTTTTTGCCATTTATCTCCAGCTGGTAAAACTTATCATTGCGCTTAAGGACTTGATATGGACCGTCATACGGGGGTTGTAATGGTCGGCGTACTGTATCGTTTCTGACGAAGACGGCGGTGGCAGTGGCTAGTTGCTTCTTTATGAAATGTAACGGCTTAGCACGATTCGAAGTCGTCACTGGTCTCAAGTCGCGCATTCGTTTGCGTAGATTGCTAATGACTCGGATTCATTTGTGTCGTTGATAAGCGTGGGTTCGAAAAATTCTCCTGGCAGTCGAATTCTGTTGCCATATGTCATTTCGGCCGGCGTCGCTTTGATATCTTCTTTGAAGGCAGATCGATCGCCAAGAAGAATTAGTGGAAACGCTTCGACCCACTGCTCCGTTTGGAAACATTTTATCGAAGCCTTCAATGTCCGACTAGGGGTCTGTTCAGGTCACGAAAGAGAGAAGACTCGAATTGCCGTCCTTGATCGGTCGTGATTCTTCTAGGGACGCCAAATCTCGAAATCCAATTCGAGTAAAAAACAAATGCAACGGTTTCAGAAGTAATTGTTTCGATGGGATATGCTTCAACCCACCTGGTAAATCTATCGATCCATGTAAGGCAATATCGGTATCCTTTGTTAAGAGGCAAGGGTCCGACGATGTCAATGTTGACGTGCTCGAAGCGTTTCTCCGTCAGAGTGTAAGTTGCTATTGGCGACTTGTTGTGGAGTGGGGTTTTGACCTTTGGCATTGAAGGCAGCTTCTGGTTAACTCGCGGCTGTCTCGATTCATGTTTGGCCATACAAATTTGTCTGCAACTAACTTCGTTGTTTTTGCAACGCCGGCATGGCAGAGATTGTGCAACGACTCGAATGCAGTTCTACGAAATTGCTTTGTAATAAACGGTCTTGCTTTGCCCGTACATATGTCGCAGTACAACTCAACTGCTGTGCCTGTTATCACCATCGGACTGTTGCAAAACAGCGCCTATTGCAGTGCCGGAGGCGTCGACTGCAACGGCCACCGGAGCGCCTGTTTTTGGAAAAGCAAGAAGGGCTGTCGTGCATAGTTCGTCCTTACAGCGCTGAAAAGCGTCTTTAGCTTCTTGATTCCAGTTGATTTTGGATGTATCTCTCTTTTTGTTGCCTTTTACGAGTGAAGATGATCTGCTGCGGTGCTAGGCAGGAATCTACGAAAAAAATTCATCATACCCAGAAACCGTCGTAAGTCGCACGCCCTTTCGGGTAAGCTGTATGCCTTGATGGCTTGAACTCGTTCTTCAGGTGGCGAAATACCATATTAAGAGGCCTTACAACCTAAGAAGATAACTTCGGATTTGCCGAGGACGCATTTTGATAAGTTGATGACGATACCATGCTTTCGCAATTTTACAAAAACATTTCGCAAATGTTGCTGGTGCTCTGCTTCGTCCTTGGACGCGATAAGGATGTCGTCCAGATAAGGCCAAGCAAAGTTGAATTCGCGGAAAATCTGATCCATGAATCTTTGAAAAGTTTGGCCAGCGTTCCTTAAACCAAAACACATATAGACAAATTCGTACATACCAAACGGGGTGGTTATAGCTGTCTTCGGTATGTCTTCCGGTTCGAATGGGATCTGGTGGCACGCGCGTCTTAGGTCGATCGTCGAGAAAACCGTGCATCCGTGAAGAGTATGGGTAAAATCATGGAGATGCGGCAGGGGATATCGGTCCGGTTCCGTAACATCGTTCAGTCGTCTGTAGTCTCCACATGGTCTCCATTACCACGTAGAGAGGACTTGCTCATGGACTTCTTGATGGTCGGCATATACCGGCTTCCAACAATGACTCGATTTCAGCTTTGGCCGCTTTCAGTAAGTCTGGTGCCAAACGACGAGGCTTTGCAAAAACTGGTGGCCCTCTACCCACACCCACACCCGACGCACCCATGATGTCTTTGAACTCGTTTAAAATGCTTTGGATCGGCATTTCGGAGTTGATGGCTGATATGTTCAGGATGTTATCTGGAGCATTGACGATCGCGCAGCTTTTTGAAATGTTCGTGACATCGTCGAACAGCCTACGGTGTCGAAGGTTGACTGACATATTGAAATGAATGAGCAGGTCTGCACCGATTATGGGCTGCGAGACCTCAGCGATAATAAAGGTCCATTTTGAAGGTCGCCGTAGACCGATATTTAATGTAAGGAGTTTTTCACCGTATGTTTTGTTTGTACAGTAAAACCCGCTTAAGCGCCTCACGAAAAATGTCAGCTTTTTGAGGTACTTAGGCGGGTTGGGTACTTAAAAGAACCCGCTTAAGTACCTCGATGCGGGTACTTAAGCGAACATAATTACTGATGTAGTTACTTCTTCTTGTTAACTTACATAAATACTTGAATAACAAAATTTGATGAAGTATACATAGTTTAAAACCAAAATCGTAGCATTATTTAAACACATAAACAAGTAAAGAAAAACTTTCTTAAAAAAATATTTAGTGCAATGGTCTGTAATTTTTACAAGAATTAAATTGTTTAAAAAGTCAAGGTTGGACATATAATTTTGTACCAAAATCAAAATGATATTGTTTGCGTTTTATGTTTATTTATTAATTTTTCAGGGTTTTCAATCAATTAAAATGCAGTTCATTCCCTAACAAATACCATATAAACCTAAGCTTAAGATTTTGTAGAGCACGTAAAAAATGCATCATAATTTCAAACTTCTTTCTCGGAAGTGTTTTTTGAGTATACAGTTTTATAGTCCATTCAATTTTAGTGCAATAATGTGCAAGTTTCGAGTGGCTAAAAGTTACTGTTGATTTTTTAGAATTTCTTACCGAATTTGAAAATACGTAAATATTTTAAGGAATTTTAAAAGAGCACTTAAAAGGGGAAAATTATAAGTAAAATTGTAAATGGGGCACCTAAAATTGAGGTACTTAAGCGGGTTGGGTAAATAAGCGGGGTAGTACTTAAGAGAGGGTCTTTCTTCTGATTATATTAAAAAATTCACGGTGTCCAAAAATGTTGGTTACTTAAGCGGGTTAGATACTTAAGCGGGGGGTACTTAAGCGGGTTTCACTGTAGTCTTGTTTGCTGCCTATAGATAAAAATGGTTTTCACATTGTTGGCGTTGTGTAGCCGTTGCTGCGATCACACTAACTTCGGCCCCGGTATCAACCAAAAAATTTAATTTAGTGATCGAATCTCTAATAAGCAAGCGGCGGCTGGTCGTGGTGCGCCTGTCACTTTCCGCCTCTAAGGACAGGGCTTTTAGTTTAACGACTTGGTACACGGTGGACGGCACTTTTTTGCGTTATCGCCGAACTTAAAATGGTACCAGCATGTTTCTGCAGTCGACTGAGGCGTTTGTGGTCTGTTGCGCAACGAACTCCTGTTGCGGTTGCGTGACTGTGACGATACGCGAGATTTTAGAATCGTAATCTCTTTCGAAAGTTGTTCGATTTGCTGTGTTAATGTGTGGTTAGGTACCGAACTGACTGCATTCGATGCCGCGTGCAATTGTGGGCCGTCCCTAGCCTCCAAGATTTTATCTGCTAAACATGCCACTTTGCCTAACGGCTCCCTACTGATGGAAATTATTGATCGTACGTCGGGTGGGAGTCGATTAAGCCATACCAATTTCAGCATGGCGTCGTTCATCCCATTGCCGTCGAGTTTTCGCATCTCCCTAAGCAGTTGCGATGGGCGCATGTCTCCCAGTTCCAGTTCTTGTAGCAATTTTTTAATGCGTCTTTGTTCGGATTCGCCGAATCGCTGTACTATGTGCGCTTTTAGGGTGTCGTACATGTCGGTTGTTGGCGGATTTAAAATAACTAGAGTTCGCCCAGCGGTTGAAATTCAACCTTTTAAATTGAGTTGAGTTAATTGAGCTGAATTGAGGTGAAATACGTTTCACAACATAGCAGAATATAACATAAAATAACATAACAACACCACATAACACAACTCAACACAACATAATATAACTTAACATAACATAAGATAACATAGCATAACATGACATAACATAACACGGCATAACACAACTTAACATAACATAAAATAAGATAAGCTATCATAACCTGACGTAACATAACATGGCATAACATAGCATAGCATAACATGACGTAACATAGCAAAACATAACGTTACATAACACAACATAACAAAACATAACATAAAACAACTTAACATGTCATTCTTCAATTGTATCTCTTTCTTTTTCTGCCTTTGTCTCTACCTTTATCTATACATATTAGTTTTTATATCTTTATCTTTTAATTTTTATATTTATCATTTCCTTGACTTTTAACCAGATCTTTATCTTCGTTCTTTTCTCCATCTACATATTCACCCACATCTTTGCGATTACATATGTAGACTATTAAGAGTTTAAATTTACCTTCCTCTTTGTCTTCATGTTTCGGTTTCTCTTACTTCTGTTAATCTTTGCTTTATCCCTTTCTTCTTCTCCATACTCAACTTTACCTTCTTCCGTGTTTGAGTCTAATCTATTCATGCATGATTGAATAATACAAGGTTCGATAAACTGACAGTTGTCTCTCTCGCACCGCTCCCTTAGCAGTGGCACCGTGTTGCTTCTTTGCACATTTACATGGAAACAGTGTAGCTTTGGTGTTTCACACCAAGAGATTTCATTCCTCCCGTTTTCTCCGTCCTTCGTAAATGCAACCTTTTGTAAGGGAGTGTCAAACCGCAGCTGTCAATAATTATCTAACCTTGTATTATTGAATCATGCTATTCATGTACATGCATACATACATCTTATTCCTAATCTGCTGCTTAGCACGTTTCTGTAATTCAGTATCAATATTAAAGCATACTTTTAGGAGGCATTTCCGCCGCAACCATGTACATGTATGGTATTGGTATTGGTGTGACTTTTGAATTGATTTTTTCGCTCTATTTTAAACTAATTTGAAATTTTAAAAATTGCCTGCACATCAGCATCAAAATACCTTTCTAATGATATATAATTGTTTATACCTTAGAAGTATAGTTTAGCCGTAAAAGGGGTGTAAAGGGAACATGATTGCCTATTTATATAATTGATATCGCTGATTTGTGCCAGTACGTTGCTCTCGATAGCGGCTATGACAGTGTGGTACTTTGTCGCGTCGTTTTTGCTGCGAGCGGCAATGAAGCGTGATTCAACTTGTGCGATCCATAAGCTTGGATTTGCGTGCCAAAATGGTGGTAGCTTTACTGTTATGTTGGCGAGAAGTCCGACTTCGGGGTGTTTTCCTGTTCGTCGTCACTCATATTGCTAAAGATGTTCCTGTCGGGGTCACCAATTATATAGTCGTCTGATATACTATATATGTGTCTATAATAGTCTTTATTAAATCAAATACAAAATATAAACGATCTTAATCACATGGCAAAAAGAAAAAGAATGGGTTGGCTATTTCCGAATTCTTGCACAGTATTGCCAGGCACAAGTTTATGTGAATGAATCGTCGAATTCCTTTTAGGAGTTGCCAAGAATAGCCGATATGGACTAGCTGGGGTTGCCACAGATTTGTATTTTAAAAATGAAAATGAATAAAAAAATTAAATCAGCAAAATGAATAAAATTAAGTGAAATTAATGTTTAATTTCTAACCTCACCTACATGTCTATGTATGTAACTGAAACGCCTAATAATAGGTTTACATATAAAAAGATTATCCTCGTTTTTGAGCTTAACTCCTTAATCTGAAGTTTCCTTAATCTGTAATTAGAAAAAGAGATTAGCCATACAAAAGTTAGATAATTATAAAATTATCTCAGATTACACCGATAACTTTTTGGTGTCCAACCTACTTTTACCGATTATACTTGCGAAAAGGAGGAATGTCAAATGTAAACGTAAGCAAAAATTGACGTCAGCAAGGAAAAGAGGTGTGTAAAGTTATTTTTAATAATATATTAAGTAAAAATATATTTTAACAGCATACTGTAGCAGAAAAAATCGACCACGGTGGCACAGAGAAGAAGCTTAACTTATCTTCAAGTTGTGAGAATAACAAGCACAACCACTTTGACAGCTTACGAGCTTTGATTGAGATTATATTTATGTATATGTAAGAGTACTTTTATTCTTGGCGTACGAAAATGTTTACACATCAAATTTCATGGGTACCTAGTACTCACGCCTTTTTTTAATTATTTAATAGATACTTACGTAAGTTTAAAAAGTTATATTTTGCTTTTTACCTAGTATATTTATGTTTTATTTTTAATTTGGTTATTTATTTTTTTAAATAGTTTTGTTTTGTGTTGAGGAACTTAAGCAAAAGGAGCGGGGTATATAACGCAAAATTCACACTAGAAGCCCCGCTTGAAACCATTGTATCTACACTGCTTTTGGGTGTTACATTTTTCATTTTATCCAGTTTAAAATAATTACACTGGATCACAAATTTTAATTTTTTAATACGTTTTCGAGATATTTGCAAATTTACCGTTATTCAGCTTAAAAAAAGAGTGGTTCCAATTAATCAGGTATATCTTACGAACCAATTAAATAATCGTAATACGAGGTACGGCAAATGATACATAGAAAATAAAATTCTCCATAAACCGCATATAGATTACTTTTCGATAGCCCTGATAGTTTCTGAGAAATTAATTAATCATTCCAGATTTTGTTGTTTTTTGTTTACAAAAATTCTAACTTTAACAGGGAAAAAAGTCAAAAAATAACAGTTTCTGTTTAAATAATTTGCACTTGTGTTAAAGCCTTTTCCTTTAGAAAAAACTAAGCTACCAATGAATAAAAACGATATATTAATAACTAGTTAATGATTGGCCAAATGAAAAGGCGCAAGAATTTTTTGTATGAAATATCAGCAGAAAGGAGTGTTACTCATATGCCACGTACCTACACCTGAGTAGGTAGAGTGTTTGCATCGAAAAGAAGAGGTGCCAGAAATGATTAAATTAATTTCTCAGATACTATCAGGGCTATCAAAAGGTGATATATGTACAGTTTAGGGAGAATTTCATTTGCTTTCATTCCCCGTGTAACCATTATTCAATTGGTTCGTAAGATAT